AAAAAAAGCTAAGAATTTTACTAGCGTTTGAAAAAATGCATTAATATACTTTAATATACTTATTGAAAAAAATGTAGATCGATGAATTATTGAACTGAATATTACTCTGGAGTTACAAACACGCAAGGCATCAGGAACTGGTAAGATAAGATGAGCTTATTTATAGCCGGACCTCCCTTGCGCATTCCCTCCGAAAATCTTAGTAAACCCATCTAAAGCAGCGGTATTTACTACATTGTATCATATCACATCATATTATATCAACCAGCGCCTGACGTCCATTCTTATGGTTAGGTAAAGCTGAAGTAGGGCGTATGTGGTGTAGAGGTAAGTGAAACTCTATCGCACATGCATAAACCGAATTTCGAATTCCGGAACGATTTACGCGTGGGCTAACGAAGCCCTCCATCCTTCCGGGCTCGTCATTTGGTACCAGATTCATCTGGGAGCACAAAAGTACTGACTTATACAGCGGTGGCCACTGCAAATCATTGTATAGGCCACATACGCATTCAACGCGTCACTACGATTCTGAAAGTCAAATGCGGGGCGCATCTCAAAAGGGGATTGATTCAGTCAGAAACTTCATCTTAATCCTTTTCACCATCTCGGACCAGCTCCTGCTCATCAGGTACAGCAGGAGTGGGGAGACTCATATACAACTTTATTTTATCCAGATAGTTAAAATACTCCAGATAGTTAAGATACGGTAATCCCCTTCACGACTATTTCCCTACCGCATACAAACATAACTGCTCCGTTGTAAGCCGGTTAATACAACTTGGTAGCCTTCGACCTTGCTTTGTTTATGGAATCTCTATGCATTTCTGTAACATCGGGTAAATAAATACGTGAACAAATAAATATCCATATTAGTTCTGCGAGTATGAGAGGAGAAAATGTGACACGGAATGAAATCGAGGCGACAGCGGAACTCTGTGTAAACAACTCGCGTGTCCAATTGAGAAGTCCATCGAGTTCACGCACATGCACGATTCGGTCACGAAAACGACCACCAAAGAAGGAAAGGCCCGGCAAACATGCGCATGAAAAAGATCGCAAGCGGAACTCCTACCAATCGGTTTAGTCTTCTTTGAAGCTTCAAAACGGGGTTTCAATCCCAATAATTAGATGACAAATGATGGAAATCGAGAAACCGCCCGTAATTACCACTCTACCCATGGGGAGATGACTATACGATTCGGGTTAGTGAAAGGAAGCGATGAAAGCCTCTCACCAGCAGCAGATGGCTGCTCTAATCGCTACCATCGCTGAAAATCGGTCAAAATTTATGGCCACTTCTCTAAGAGGCGGCGGTGATGACGACGATGGCGAGAACGCGTCCATCGACAATTTCTACCCATTTTGGAACATGCAATGAGGGAGGGCAAAACGTAGCAAAAAAGGACGGTTGAAAGGCCACGCTGCAGCTGTAAATGGGTAGATGGCAGAAAAGCATGCTGGGGGAATGAGGAAGAAGAACTGGAACAAGAAAAGCGCTTCCTTTCCTCATAATTTCCTAACTACCAAGTCAAAAACTGATTGTGGTAATAATTATTGATATCAAATGATAATTTCATTTCGATATTATGATAATCCAAGTTTTACATTCGTGATAGTGAATGACAATTGAACAGATTTTAGATATTTTATCAAAACTAAAGATAACAGTTGATGGTTACTTTACAGTTATAATTCGATATTGCATCATTTTACCACTGATTATTCTGAATTATTGTAATTATTAGCCTCACTCCCTCGCATTTACCGGGTACCACGTTTCAATTTTTTCAATTTCTAATTCTATTTACCGAAAACCCA